TAGTTCTGTCTACTAAGAAAATAATCCCTTCGAGAAAGAAAAGGGACAGACTGGGACAAAGGTCAAGATTTCAAACTTAACCTGTGACATTTTATATGCCTTAGATACAAATCATAGAGCCATCCTTCATAACATCCAACAATCACAATTTTAATTTTCTGTAGTATAGTCACTGTTACACCATGAAAATTTGGATAAGTCTCTGAAGTTTTCCAAATTTGTTTCTGTACTTATAAAGTGGACACAATAATAGCAACTACTATATACAATTAAGGAGAAGATTAAGTGCAATGATTTATAAAAGACCTTGACATAGTTTCTAACACATACATTCAATTCAGATACAATTTAATGCTATTAATTATTACTATTTTAATGGTAACAATATTGTGGTTATTATTTTTGTAATATCTGTTTTATTACTAGGTGGCACTTAAATGGAAATACTCCTTGTTCACTTATCAATTGTTGATTAAATCTGTGAAACAGTGATTGTTTATTTTCTCAAGTAGCTACTTATATCTTTTTTCATAGTAGTAGAATTACTAGCTATTACCAAGTTCTTGATTATAAAGATTTTGTCATTATCTTTTGTAGTTAAGTTATGGTAAAAAAAAAAGTTATATAAGTAGTAGTGTTTTGTAGAAGATTCAAGAAAATTTAAAAAGATGGCTTGCATTTGCCCTTTGCTCTCTATCATTACTTTCTCCAACATAGATACCATGCTGGAACCTGCCAGAAAGGGCCACACTCTAGTGTTAAGAGTAGTGAATTGGGGCTGGGGTTGTAGCTCAGTGGTAAAGCACTTGTCTAACATGGTTGAGGCACTGGGTTCAATCCTCAGCTCCACTTTAAAAAATAAATAAATAAATAAATAAAAAATAAATAAAAACGAAAGGTTAAATTCTAAAAAAAGGGGGCGGGGTGGGGAAGTAGTAATTGTCCCTGAGGAGCTACTTCTGGGGTATAGCCACCATCAGTCTTGGACCACATACATTTCTTGTTAAGAACCTGTTGTAATGGGTTTATTATCATTGACAGGCAATCCCAATCCCAATATGTAAGTCTGTATAGCCTGGTAGTTTAAATTAAAGATATTAAAGATTTCCCTCTCCAGTCTCTCTTTTTCCTGTCATTCAAAGAAGTATATTTTGCTATAAAAAGTATAATAATTGTCATTGTTTATGGGAATGCCTTATCATTTGTGCCAAATTATCATGCAACAAATATCTCATAATTCACATCATTTGAAAACAATTACAATGTTGAGTGATTACAACTGTTAGTGACATTCCATGGTTAGAAGGGGGAAAACAGTAGAAAATGCAAATAAAAATACTTTGCTGTTTACATACTTTGCCTACTTTTTGGGTTTTGTGGAAAAGAATCAGGAAAATGCCTAAACAAAACATGGAAATAAAATCACAAACATGTTTTTCCTAAGAATAAAAAATTATGTCAATAAATACTAATTTAAAAACTCCAATATGGAAGCTACCTTATTAGATGTTAAAGATGCAAAGACTCAAAACTTGCTTTTTTTTCCAAGAGTCAAAGGAAGGGAAATAGATGAATAAACAGATAATTAAAATGTAATATGACCATAGTTGAATTAATATGCAGAATGGGCTTTCTTAAGTCAATCTAGTAGGAAGAACAGGACAAGCTTCCATGAAAACATTGAAAGATAAGTTGAATCCTAAAGAATGCCAGTAATAAAGAACATCATGAATTTATAACGGTGCAAACAAGTGAGGAAGTATATTCCCCAGCATGTTCCCAAGATAGTGGGCTCTGGAAGTGCATTGAAGTGAAGTAGAGGTGAAGTTATGTGAATATATTTAAATCTTTTACCAAGAATGAGACATTACTTCATTTCAAAGAGTAAGACATCACATTAGATTTTTGGATAGTCAATAGGCTTTGAGAGAGGCAGAAAAATGTGATCAAGATTCACTACTTAGGAAGTTGGTTGATACTCCAAAGGAGAATTATTGAAACCCAGATGAGAGGAGTTAAACAACCTCAAAGATTATTAGTTATAATATTGATTAATATTATTAATTATGGTATAATGATTTCATTGGACTTTGCATTTAGATGTATGAAGAAAAATGTAGAATAAAAAGTATCTGGAATTGCTAATACTGAGGAACACTGGTTTTTAAGGAGATGGAAGGAAGATGAGTACTAGCAAAAGACTTCAGAGTGAGGAAAATTCAGGAAGACAGATTTAAAAAGCCAGGAAAGAAAAAGCTTCAAGAAGTAGAAAGTAGTTAATAAAATTAATCACTTTATACTAATACCTTATTTTTATTTTTATTTATTTATTACTGTTTAAACTAAACATATAATATGTATTATCATGGTTTAGATAGAAGCACAACCCAAAAGCTCACATGAGAGTCAAGGCAAGCATTTTCAGAGATGAAGTTATTAGATTCTGAGATACAACCTAATAGATGGATTAATCCACAGATTTGGATTTACTGAGTGGAAACTATAGGCAGGTACAGTGTGGCTAGAGGAGATAAGTCACTGGGAGCATACTTTTATGGTTTATATTTTGTCTCCAGTGAGTAAAACTCTCTCTGCTTCTTGACTGCCATGTCCTGAGCTGCTTTCCTCAGCCTCATGCTTCCACCACAGTGTTCTGTTTCACCTTGGGCCCAGAGCAATAGAGTTGGTCATCTATGGAAAGAGACACCTGAAACTATGAACCCTGAATACACTTTTCCTCCTTAATTGTTCGGGGCAGGTCTTTTGGTCATAGTGACAAAAAAGCTGACTAAAATATGTATCACTGAAACTTAACACAGATTTTCCTACTAGCCCCAAATAAAAGGGGGAAAAATACCTGCCATTCTATACCTAGAGGTAGTCCCTTTAACATCTGTAGCATTCCCTTTCTTTTTTCTTTATGGATATTTGTTTACTTTTTGATATCAATTCATTGTGCCTGTGCAGAGTAATTCATTTTAACTAAATATACTTCAAATAAAAACACCATTTGAATGAGAAAATGGGTTCTAATATCAGTGGCTGGGCATAGTCCAGGATATGCTATGATTCAATCAGGAGGACAAGAAATTAAAAGTGAGCTCCTTTAATAGTTCCCCAACTGTCAAGCCCAGTGTGTTTAATAAAGAGTGACCTCAGTTACTTTTATAGAGTGTCGAGTCTTCTAGTTGTTTTTCCTAATTTCTATTCTGGTTTTTTTTCTATCAACATCTTCATGACATTTCTAAGCTTTTTCTGCAGCATGCCCTGGTAAGACTACAAATCTTTGATTTCAATTTATCCATGAATTTTTCTGCTTCAGATTGAATGCTTTTATAGTCCCTACTTCACTGTAAAGGATATGGTCAATGGTCCATTCAGATACCCTTAAATGCCTCTTGTTCTTCCTGTTATTAGTCCACTATATTCCACATACATTTACCTCTATACAACCATAGCTAGAAGTCTTCTTGAGACTTGCTCTTGGGCTTCAGGAGACACTTAGACCACACATGAGCCCAAAACCTCTTTGCCTATGATCATGAGAAGCAGAAATATGAGAGGGCAGCTATCTTCCTTTGAGTTAGGATGGGTTCTTGGGTAAAATTTATACAGCATGGGATCAGGTTGAGACTTGGATTTTACCTAAAATTGCACTTTGCTCAATTTCTTTCCTATCTTGCCTCCCCTACTCCATAAACAGTTTCTCCTTCCTTAGTACATCACTTGAATGCAGTTCCTTACTTTGGGTGTGCTTTGGGGGAATCCTGAAAACTAAGACAGCTGTAGTCTACAGAAAAGTGAACTCTCCATGCTTGGCTAAAGTCACACACCTGGTACTGAAGCTGGTCATGGTTCCCAAATCTCCAGATATATAGGGCAAAGAATTGTGCTTATAATTGGGTAGGTTAAATGAAGTGGCAAAAGCCTAGTGCCAGTGATGGAACAGTAGACCAAAAATTGCTCCAATTTCAGTATTATCAGTGGATATCAGGATACTATCTGAAGAGTTTATGGGAAAGAGCAATGAATGGGTATTTCATGGTTCTAAAGAAAAACTCATGGGCTTAAATGTTGTTGTGAATATATGAATTTAATACTTCACAATGTAGTTATTTTACTTCATTATAAAATTGGCCTTTACTACATACTTTTAAAATTAGAAAAAGAATGAGATGAGATAATGTGTTCAGATATAAATTCCTCTGCTAAAACAAAAGGTTGATCTTCTTTACCTAAATCGAAGCTTGGGATAGGTGTCCTTTTCAAGGACATCTATCCTATAAGGAGATAAAGAAACCCACCTCTCTTATCATTTCAACAGAAACCAACACAATTTGTTAGTGTAGTTTCTCAAATCTATTTGAAAATCCCAGCAACCAAGTCTATAGTAGCTGTAGAGACAAGAATATTGAAGTATAAATATTATCAACATAATTATTGTTAACATTTTTTATAAAGCATTACTAAAGCTGCCAAAATATTTGTTAGTATTGCTCACTAATTTTACACTATACTTGAACAAGGTGCCCAAAAATATCTTTATATATTCCATACATATTGTTTATCTTATTTATTAACGAATTTATTTATACAAACATTTTAACTAGGGACCCCCTATGAGCAACACATTAATCTTTTTTTATATTTCTTTTAGTTGTCAATGGACCTCTATTTTATTTATTGATACGTGCTGCTGAGAATCGAACCCAGTGCCTCACACATGCTAGGCAAGAGTTATTCCACGGAGCCACAACATCAGCCCAACAACAACAACACACTAATCTTATCCTTACTCATACTAATCATTTATCTAAATATATGTATGTGTATATGTGTGTGTGTGTGTATATATGATGATGCCTTTTACCTAAAACCATCTTTGGAGAGACTGGCATAAATAATAGTTGTGTGCCACACTTTAAATGAATAAGATAACATTCTATGTATCAAGTATTATATATTTGTTAATTTACATGTTCCTTCAACACTTTTGTGACATGGAGGTCAGGGACAATTATTTTTTCTTTACACTTGAGAAAAAATGAGATTCAGAGATGTGAGGTGATCTGCACCGGTATTCATGATTTTGACTCTGGTGGCTAAGTCATAAATGATATTCCACAGTGGGTTTTGAATATATAATCTATAAAATCATGCCAGGCCCTTGACTTTCTTCACTAAATCACATAAGTCACACTATATTATACATCCTGAATTATAAGATGCAAATGTGAGCCAAATTTAGAAACAAAATAAATAGTAATAACCTTGAAATAAATTTTTAAAAGGTGCATCTGGCTACTGCTATCCAACATTATTTTTTAAAGGCCATAGTCAATCCTTATTCTTTTAAGAAACTTTTCTTTTTTTATTAATTTCTTCTGATTCTTAAGGCTTATGTTAATCCAGTGAGGGTTATAATTTGAACTGAAATAGACTTCAGGTGCACATCTTCAACTTCTTTCTCTCTGAATTATACTTCTCTAAGATAAGGTAGTCTTTCATTACTAACCTCTCAAGGCATTGAATTTTCTTTGTTTTGAGATTTGTTGACATCTTAGAGATATCAACATTATGCTTGTCACAATCATTCAATATGGAAAAAATGCAATATGTACATTTTAAAGTAATGATAGGAACTGATCAACAATTCATAAAAATTATTTTGCAGCTAAGTTCTTTATATTATATGAAAGAATTATTTAATTAAATTTTTGAATTTACCAATAATTTAGGTTTTTACTTTGAGACTCACTTTTCAAAGCAAAAAACCTAAGAAAGTAAAGATAGACAAAACTACCATGTGTTTTAGAGAGCTAGATTTTTCTCAAACAGATATAAATAAAGATAGAGGACATAGGATACCATCAATTTAGAAGATATGGTGAATTATGCCAGAGAATTTCTGAGAGAGAGCACACTGGGGTGCTAAACATTGCAACAGGTTTTTTTCATACAAGACCAGTAGATAAGGAAAAAAGTGATGACTATCATCTTTTTGATTCGGGGTTCTTGGGTGACAAGTAACAAAACAATTGTGGCAGACTTAGGTGGAAAAAAAAGAATGCTTTTGTTGATGTTTGCCTACTTTTTTATTTATCTGTAGTTAACTTGTGGTTGCAATTAAATGAATGATTGTAGTTCTCACAAGGATCAAGGATGTTGATTGATATTTCATTTATGGTAGTGAGTGAAAAACAATTGTAAAAAATAGTACTTATATCAGAACATCATTTGTTTGCCAATGATATGAATGATTACATTACTGGATCATTTAATAATTCCTGAATATTCTAAGAATACTTCCTCATTTTTTTGCAGTTTAGAATGTGGTTACTACAGAAACAATTACTTTGAAACTAAATCTTCATTACTAACATTTTACTTCATCACTAACATTTTACTTCATCACTTTCTATGTCTGTATGATAAACAAAAGTTCTGATTTCCAGTGTTTTCCAATTCTATTGTTTAATTCTCTTAGCATGTTCAATTGCAATCTGTCAGGGAGACAAAATACAAAGTGGAAAAAGATGCACAAAGCACATCATTATATGGTGGCTCTATTATATGGATAAAAGAAATATAACATCAAGAGCATGGTTAATAGAACAATGTAGTAAAATATTGGAGTGATGATTTTTGAGTAATTATTCTTGTTTTAAATATAATTAATTAAATTTTTTGTTTAGATAATTTAAATTCTACTTTGGAATGTGCTTAATAATCAATTTGCTATATTCCTAATAACAATCAGCTCTCTGGAAGTAGTAAAAGTTAGTTTCAAAATACCATTGTATGGTATTTTCTTGGCTAATAAAGTTGGAGGGGATATTGCAAGGTACTTTGATCGAAGTTATCTCCAAGATCATGCAGAATGAAGGGAGGTACTTCCTTAGCTTTTATAAACACTGAGAAACAAATGATCGTTGTATAAGCAAAAACACAACATGGGTCAAAGATTACTAAAGGCCCATTTCCAGGAATAAGTGGTTGACAAAGCAAGAACGTTATGTGGAGAAAGAAGGCTGTTAATAGAAGAAAAATTAGGCCCTGAACTTCATCATGTGGGATTAGGCCCCAACTTCCTTAATAAGACTCATATAGCACAAGAATTAAAACCAAGAATCAATAAATGGGATGGAATCAAACTAAGAAGTTTCTTCTCAGCAAAAGAAACAATCTGTGAGGTGAACAGAGAGCCTACATCCCGGGAGCAAATTTTTATCCTTCACATACATCAGACAGAGCACTAATCTCTAGGATATATAAAGAAATCAAAAAGCTAAACACCACAAAAACAAATAACCCAATCAATAAATGGACCTGAACAGACACTTTTCAGAAGAGGATATACAATCAATCAACAAATATATGAAAAAATGCTCATCATCTCTAGCAATTAGAGAAATACAAATCAAAACTACACTAAGATACCCTCTCACTCCAGTCAGAATGGCAGCTATTATAAAGCAAATGACAATAACTGTTGGTGAGGATGTGGGGAAAAAGGTACACTCATACATTGCTAGGAGGACTGCAAACTGGTGCAGCCAATATGGAAAGCTGTATAGAGATTCCTTGTAAATCTGGGAATGGAACCACCATTTGACCCAGCTATTCCTCTCCTCGGACTATAACCAAAGGACTTAAAAACAGCATACTACAGGGACACAGCCCCATCAACGTTTATAGCAGCACAATTCACAATAGCTAAACTGTGGAACCAACCTAGATGCCCTTCAGTGGATGAATGGATAAAAAAATGTGGCATATATACACAATGAAATTTTACTCAGCAATAAAAGAGAATAAAATCATGGCATTTGCAGGTAAATGGATGGTGTTGAAGAAGATAATGCTAAGTAAAGTTAGCCAATTCCAAAAAAACATATTCCGAATGTTTTCTCTGATAAGGAGGCTGATTCATAGTGGGGTGGTGGGGGGAGCATAGGAGGAATTAGATGAATTCTAGATAGCAGTGGGAGGGAAAGAGATGGGGCAGGGGATTAGCAAGGATGTTGGAATGTGATAAACATCATTATCCAAAGTACATATATGAAGACACAAATTGGATGTCAACATACTTTATATACAAACATAGATATGACAAATTGACGTATATATATATATATATATATATATATATATATATATATATATGTAATAATAATTGTAATGCAAAAAATTGGTGTCATGAATTGGTGTGAACATACTTTATATACAATGATATGAAAAATTGTGCTCTATATGTGTAATAAGAATTGTAATGCATTCTGCTTTCATGTATTTAAAAAAATAAAATCAATTAAAAAAAGAGCCAAAAAAAATGATGAGAGTTCCGGAGACGCTGGAGGCGAGATGGGACCTCCAGGCCCAGGTCACCCTGCTGATTAATTCAAGCTCGGCCTATTCTGCGCACCTGAGGATGGCATCAGCCTCCGCACACCAGGCAGTGTGAATGGCTCTTCCTCAGAGACCCGTGGACACACCCACAGTGCCTCCTCACCTTTGGAAAGGGCATGCCCCATGCCTCTGCCCAGGAAGGCTCCGCTCAGTACTCCTGTCACCCCGGTCCTTGAAGACTTCCCTCAGAATGATGATGAAAAGGAGCGGCTGCAGCGGAGGCGCTCCCGGGTCCTGGACCTGCAGTTCAGTACCGACTCGCCTCACCTGTTGGCCTCCCCCACCAGCAGGAGTGTTGATGCTTCCACTACAGTACCGAAATTCACAAACACACAGATCACAGAACATTACTCCACTTGTATCAAACTATCCACTGAGAACAAAATCACTACCAAGAATGCTTTTGGCTTGCACTTGATTGATTTTATGTCAGAAATCCTTAAACAGAAGGACACGGAACCAACCAACTTTAAAGTGGCTGCTGGCACCCTGGATGCCAGCACCAAGATCTATGCTGTGCGGGTGGATGCTGTCCATGCTGATGTGTACAGAGTCCTTGGGGGACTGGGCAAAGATGCACCTTCTCCGGAAGAAGTGGAGGGCCATGGTGCAGATGGAAGTGCTACTGAAATAGGAACAACTAAAAAAGCTTCAAAGCCAAAGAAGAAGCATTCGTACAAGACCATTGAGCAGAACAGAGACAACCTCAATATCTCCGAAGCAGATCAAAAGTGTGAGGTCAATCCCATGTTTCAGAAGACCGCAGCCTCATTCGAGGAGTGCAGCACTGCAGGGGTGTTCCTCTCCTCCCTCCACTGCTGCGACTACAGGAGCGAGCTGCTCTTTCTTTCTGACATCCAGAGCCTCTCCACCGCAGAGCCTCTTGAGTTGCCAGATTTAGGCTGGGTAGAAATGACAGACCTCAAAGCGCCTCTGCAGCAGTGTGTGGAAAATGGCCAGCTCTGCCCTTCCCTGGCTGGGTTACAGTTCACAAAGTGGGACAGCAAGACACATAATGAGTCTGTGTCAGCCCTGGTAGACAAGTTTAAGAAGAATGACCAGGTATTTGATGTCAATGCTGAGATGGAGGAGAGTGGCTGCGGGGACTTCCTTGATGGGCCCCTGGAGGACAACTTTGATGCCAATGATGAGCCCGAGCACACCTCAGCTGGGGACCACGAGGAGCTCCGGAGCTGGAAGGAGCCCTGCCAAGTCCAGAGCTGCCAGGAAGAAATGATTTCCCTTGGGGACGGAGACATCCAGACCATGTGCCCTCTTCTCTCCATGAAACCTGGAGAATATTCCTATTTTAGTCCCCGGACCATGAAGATGTGGGCTGGCCCAGATCACTGGCGCTTCAGACCTCGACACAAACAAGATGCTGTTTCCCAATCAGAGAACAAGAAGAGGAATTCAAAGAAAGATTTTGAAATGGACTTTGATGATGATATTGATTTTGATGTATACTTTCGAAAAACAAAGGCTGCGACTGTTCTGACCAAGTCCACTTTGGAGAACCAGAACTGGAGAGCCACCACTCTTCCTAGAGATTTCCACTACAAGATCCACACGCTGGTCCAGCTGCACCTCAAACCAGGCTTAAGGTTACTAAAGATGGCCCCAGGCCAGAAGGCAGAGACTGAGCATTATGACAACCTAAACAGACCAATATCAATTGAGGAAATAGAAGAAACCATCAAAAGACTACCAACTAAGAAAAGCCCAGGACCGGATGGGTATACAGCAGAGTTTTACAAAACCTTTAAAGAGGAACTAATACCAATACTTTTCAAGCTACTTCAGGAAATAGAAAAAGAGGGAGAACTTCCAAATTCATTCTATGAGGCCAACATCACCCTGATACCTAAACCAGACAAAGACACTTCAAAGAAAGAAAACTACAGACCAATATCTCTAATGAACCTAGATGCAAAAATCCTCAACAATATTCTGGCGAATCGGATACAAAAACATATCAAAAAAATTGTGCACCATGATCAAGTAGGATTCATCCCTGGGATGCAAGGCTGGTTCAATATACGGAAATCAATAAATGTTATTCACCACATCAATAGACTTAAAAATAAGAACCATATGATCATCTCGATAGATGCGGAAAAAGCATTCGACAAAGTACAGCATCTCTTTATGTTCAAAACTCTAGAAAAACTAGGGATAACAGGAACATACCTCAATATTGTAAAAGCAATCTATGCTAAGCCTCAGGCTAGCATCATTCTGAATGGAGAAAAACTGAAGGCATTCCCTCTAAAATCTGGAACAAGACAGGGATGCCCTCTCTCACCACTTCTGTTCAACATAGTTCTCGAAACACTGGCCAGAGCAATTAGACAGACGAAAGAAATTAAAGGCATAAAAATAGGAAAAGAAGAACTTAAATTATCACTATTTGCAGATGACATGATTCTATACCTAGCAGACCCAAAAGGGTCTACAAAGAAACTATTAGAGCTAATAAATAAATTCAGCAAAGTGGCAGGATATAAAATCAACACGCATAAATCAAAGGCATTCCTGTATATCAGCGACAAATCCTCTGAAATGGAAATGAGGACAACTACTCCATTCACAATATCTTCAAAAAAAATAACATACTTGGGAATCAACCTAACAAAAGAGGTGAAAGACTTATACAATGAAAACTACAGAACCCTAAAGAGAGAAATAGAAGAAGATCTTAGAAGATGGAAAAAATATACCCTGTTCATGGATAGGCAGAACTAACATCATCAAAATGGAGATATTACCAAAAGTTCTCTATAGGTTTAATGCAATGCCAATCAAAATCCCAACGGCATTTCTTGTAGAAATAGAGAAAGCAATCATGAAATTCATATGGAAAAATAAATGACCCAGAATAGCAAAAACAACTCTAAGCAGGAAGTGTGAATCAGGCGGTATAGCGATACCAGACTTCAAACTATACTACAGAGCAATAGTAACAAAAACAGCATGGTACTGGTACCAAAACAGGCGGGTGGACCAATGTTACAGAATAGAGGACACAGAAACCAATCCACAAAACTACAACTACCTTATATTTGATAAAGGGGCTAAAAGCATGCAATGGAGGAAGGATAGCATCTTCAACAAATGGTGCTGGGAAAACTGGAAATCCATATGCAACAAAATAAAACTGAATCCCTTTCTCTCGCCATGCACAAAAGTTAATTCAAAATGGATCAAGGAGCTTGATATCAAATCAGAGACACGCCATCTGATAGAAGAAAAAGTTGGCTACGATCTACATACTGTGGGGTCGGGCTCCAAATTCCTCAATAGGACACCCATAGCACAAAAGTTAATAACTAGAATCAACAAATGGGACTTACTCAAACTAAAAAGTTTTTTCTCAGCAAAAGAAACAATAAGAGAGGTAAATAGGGAGCCTACACCCTGGGAACAAATCTTTACTCCTCACACTTCAGATAGAGCCCTAATATCCAGAGTATACAAAGAACTCAAAAAATTAGACAATAAGAGAACAAACAACCCAATCAACAAATGGGCCAAGGACCTGAACAGACACTTCTCAGAGGAGGACATACAATCAATCAACAAGTACATGAAAAAATGCTCACCATCTCTAGCAGTCAGAGAAATGCAAATCAAAACCACCCTAAGATACCATCTCACTCCAGTTAGATTGGCAGCCATTATGAAGTCAAACAACAACAAGTGCTGGCGCGGATGTGGGGAAAAGGGTACACTTGTACATTGCTGGTGGGACTGCAAATTGGTGCAGCCAATTTGGAAAGCAGTATGGAGATTTCTTGGAAAGCTGGGAATGGAACCACCATTTGACCCAGCTATTCCCCTTCTCGATCTATTCCCTAAAGACCTAAAAAGAGCATGCTACAGGGACACTGCTACATCGATGTTCACAGCAGCACAATTCACAATAGCAAGACAGTGGAACCAACCTAGATGCCCTTCAATAGATGAATGGATAAAAAAAATGTGGCATTTATACACAATGGAGTATTACTCTGCATTAAAAAATGACAAAATCATAGAATTTACAGGGAAATGGATGGCATTAGAGCAGATTATGCTAAGTGAAGCTAGCCAATCCCTAAAAAACAAATGCCAAATGTCTTCTTTGATATAAGGAGAGTAACTAAGAACAGAGTAGGGTCGAAGAGCATGAGAAGAAGATTAACATTAAACAGGGATGAGAGGTGGGAGGGAAGGGAGAGAGAAGGGAAATTGCATGGAAATGGAAGGAGACCCTCAGAGTTATACAAAATTACATACAAGAGGAAGTGAGGGGAAAGGGAAAAATAATACAAGGGGGACAAATGAATGTCAGTAGAGGGGGCAGAGAGAGAAGAGGGGAGGGGAGGGGAGGGGAGGGGAGGGGGGATAGTAGAGGATAGGAAAGGCAGCAGAACACAACAGACACTAGTATGGCAATATGTAAATCAATGGATGTGTAACTGATGTGATTCTGCAATCTGTATATGGGGTAAAAATGGGAGCTCATAACCCACTTGAATCAAAGTGTGAAATATGATATATCAAGAACTATGTAATGTTTTGAACAGCTAACAATAAAAAATTTAAAAAAAATGATGAGTAGGCCAGAAGCAGGCAGTAAGCTAATCTGTGCAGAAAAGCTGTTTTGATGGGTTACAAAGCTCCATGCAGGACATAGAACAGCAATAGGACTTCAGTTTCTGAGAAAGGGATTAATAATAAGAGAAGACTGCATCGTAGAAAACTAAAGATAATAGAATAGGCATAGTGACAGGAAACAAGACAGATTTCTAATTTCTAGGATCAAAATCAAAGGTAGACACTCAATATCAAATACCAGATTTTAATATCGTTATCTGGTACAGTAAGGGATTAGTTTTTGGGTAACTTCAAACTGAGCCCTAGAATACCAGCTTAGGAATTTACAGTTTTCTGCAAAAATCAAGATGTGTGTTTAATTGAAATCATTTGGAGTCAATGATATAAGAAGGACATGAGAGAATTACATGATAATTTTCTTATTTGATTATTTTTTAAAATTTATTTAAAGAGGATATGCTTGAGGGAAGCTGATCACATTATTTTAATCAGTAGCTCCCAACCTCAAATACAAGGAGTACTTTTTTAATATGCATAAAAAACTGATGGAAACCTCATATGAGACAGTTATTCACTTATCAATTCATTAACGAACAAACTGAATTCCTGGTGCACGCCTGTAATCCTAGTGGCTCCGGAGGTTGAGGCAGGAGGATGGCAAGTTCAAGGATAGCCTCAGCAACTTAGCAAGACCATGAGCAATTTAGTGAGACCCTGTCTCAGAATAAAAAATAAAATGGGCTAGAGATGTGGTTCAGCGGTTAAGTGCCCCTGGGTTCAATCCCTGGTACCAAAAAAAAAAAAAAAAAAAAACTGAATATAAAATGTTGTTATGAACACATTAATATTATAAATAAATTTTGTAACTTTTAATACTGATGGTACATATTTACAAATAAAATACTGCAAATCTGCAAATATGCTTTAGGCATTTATTATAACTCTTCCCTGAATGTTTGGAACCTTGATTGGAAATAGGAATCTTTCAATTATATAAAAATGTAACTTATACATACAAATAGACAAACATGTTTTCAATTAGGTATACTAATAATTAGTCTTTATCAGTTGTTTACCTACTATTTGCTTAACGTATGGTTTTCCTTCTAAGAGTTACTCACTGTGTGATCTCAGTATTTAAATAACATCCATAGCTGACAACTTCCAAATTTATATCACCATCCCTATTTTTTTGATCTTTCGGACTTTATCCTTAACTTGGTATCTAAGCTTCCATCTCAAACATAACTTGTCCACCTCTAAATGAATTTTACCAGCAGCCTTTCCTATATTACTTGACAGCAATTCTGTGCTAATTATTTATGTGCTGTGTCTTAGCTTTAAGTCAATTCTTACATATTCTGCCCCTTGATGTTTAGGATGAAATACTCCAAATGACATTTTTCAATGTTTTTCCAGTTGACTTTAGAGTCTGTCTAAACCTGCTGGCTCACATCCTTTCCTTAAAGGTCTCAGATCCTCAACATTTGAGAACCAGTTCTACAAAATCCCTATTTCAACCTCTTAGGTTTTGTTAACATCATATTTTCCCTTTTCTTTTTCTATCTGCATCTAATTATACAGTTTTTGCTTCTCTAAAACTGCATTAAATTTTGCAGTTTGCATTATAATACCTGTATAACAATTGTCCAACTTATATTTCATTTGTTATGATAGCTAATATAAACCTTTTTATGATTTTACTAGACATTAATTTATGCAGTCTTCCATATCAACAGTGAGCCCAAGAATAGTTTCTCAAAGATGGGATTTTGGAAGGTGGTTTGCTCATTTTTTGGCCTTAAACATAGTTGAGTTGCTCGTCAGTAGAAAATGGCATGCACAATCATCTATTTCTTGTGATTTGGATGAAACACCTATTGAAGGCAGGTTCATTGGATCACAGGCAAAGGGTTGCTGCACTAGATGGTTAACTCAACACTATAATGACTATGGTGGTCAATGATTATTGATGATTGCAGTGAAGTAAAAAGGAAACTAAATCAAAGCTGAAGTTAAAAGGAAACAAAGTCAAGGTCCTGGTCAAAGAAGAAGAAAACTATGTGCATCCTATAGCACTGACCTGGTATAGTTAAGAAATATATCCCAAATTTAGTTGTGCAAGTTACATAACTAAATGTTTAATGAACCTTATAGACTCACCAAGTTTCCCATGTGAAAATTAGGGGAAAAAATCAAGAAGGAAAGAGATCCTGAAATTTGAAGTAGAAACTTTTGGATTCTCTTTGATAAAGTTGAGAACCTTAAACCTCAAGTCTTCCAGTGACTTTGCCAGCAAGAACATCCTATTTTCCCAAAAGGCTTGAAATCCCTGTCAAAACTTTACTTGAAGCAATAAACATGTAATGAGGCATTTGTTATTGTCAATATCCAGTGCCATCACCTTTCATACTTTCCAGATTTCATTCGGTAATATAACAGAATTCTCTATGGTGAGATCATGTTCAACATGGTAGTCACTAGTAACATGTGGCTATTGAGAACCTGAAATAAGGCCAGTCTGAATTGAGCTGTGCTGAAAGTGTAAAACACACTATTGATTCACAGATTAAGAATGAATAAATGACAGCAACATATTTCATTAATTTAATCCAACTCTATGTTAAAATGATAATATTGGGTTTAATGAAATATTAAAATTAATTTAAAATCTTTCAGAATATGGTTACTAACAAACTTCTTGTCAAATATGTGGCTAACATTATATTTCTGTCTGACAAAGCAGCTCTAGACTATTAAGACTTCAAATTCTTGCTCACCTAAGTAAAATAAAAAATTTGAAAACTATACTTCTTCCTACTATATTAAATTGACATCTATTTCAAAAAATTTAATTCTGAAAAACTACAAAGGATGACATTTCTGTCATACTCTAATTTACAAATACTTTAGAGTTTCCTCAAAATATCATGCCTTTAGTTCACTCAATTTATAGAAACTATTCATCCCTAATAGAAAAACTGTAAAATCAACAAATTAGAAATGCTTTCTGTTAAAATAATTCATATTTTGTGCTACAACTCAAATTAGCATATAATATCTTTCTATATTATATGCATCCTATTTAATATAGAGATAAAATGAATAAAAATAAGTAGATGGATGGATAATTGACAAATACAAATACAAATATAAAGGTTGGTGCTTGTCTGAGTTTACTGAAGATAAACTAAAATATTGCTCCCTTCAGATATTTCCTAGTGAAGCTTTTGCTTTTCATTTTTCTGAAGAATGCTCCTTCAGGAGCTATGACTCTGAATTTTTATGCCCTTATTTTCCAGTGTTTTACTTACTTTCAAACAATGTAATATACTAATATTGCATCTAAGAAAGTAATACATGTTTTTCTTTTGAAATTAGAAAAAGTAATTATAAAAGGAAAAATAATAAATGGATACAGGTGGGCCATCAAAGCTTAATTTCACACATGGAGCTAGTATGAATGTATTTCTTAATGAAAGAAGAAAAGTTAATTCAATGAACAGGTTAAAGAATCAATTGTAATGTTTTAACTTACTGCTATTAAGAGATCCTCAATTTTATTAATCTTTCAAATGTGATAATTAAGGAAAATATTCTCTTACATAAGCTTGTAGAATAACCATGAAGCAACTTTAAAATGCATATTTCTTTAAGGATGTAATGCTGAGATACTATATTTTATTTTTAATGAAATTAATTGCAGTGTTTAAAAAATCAATTGCAATGATTATGACTTAATTTTTAATATTTTTTGCACAAAACCAAATCACCTATAAATTAGTAAAGCAAGAGTCAAGTATAGAATTTTATTATGGCATAAATATATAAGATAAGCTAACATAACTAAAGAGAAGCATGTTTCCTAACATTTGGCAATAATATTAAGTATCATTTGATGTGATCCTACTTGGTATCAGGAATTTCACATTTTCTTATGTGTTATAATCTCTAATAAATAAAAAAGAAAACTGTGGCTTACAAGACCAAGTGAGCATAGCTAAAATATTATAATTAGTAAGAATGACAGTCAAGATTTGAAATCAGGTGCATTTGTTTCATCCTGTTTCAAATTTCAAAATTTTTCCAATAATTACTTTTAGATATTTATGACACCAGGATTGCTTTTAAAGTGATCAAATAAAGTATAAAATGGGTACTAATTATTTAAGAAAATTGGAAATATTGAAGAATTAATATGGTTAATTGAGATTATTTTTAAAAAATTGGAGTTACTGAAGGATTATTACGGTTAATATAAAGGATTAATATGGTTAAACTGAGATTTATGACAACTAATATAACTGTGTGTTTATAGTTTGTGCTAACAATTGCCTTCTGAAAAGTGTCCTATGTGCCATAATGCATTAGTGCATCATGAAATTAATTTGGTGAAATATTATTAATATTTAAAAAATCAATATATTACAATAAATAAGAATATACATACAGAAATAAATTTATGTAGAAAGGGATAATGTTCTACATCTGGAATTGTGTGTGTGTGTGTGTGTGTGTGTGAGAGAGAGAGAGAGAGAGAGAGAGAGAGAGAGAGAGAGAGAGACAGAAACAGAGAGAAAGACAGAGACAGTGACAGAGAAAATGTGTTTGAACTCGGCCACTGCATGGAATTCTTACTGAGGATCATGGTTCAAAATGATTAAAAACCAATTTCTACAGAATTCCTTAAAATAGAGATAAACTGATAAAAAGTTAATATTTCCAATCAGGTATTTGATAAAAATAGCAAATAAATAAAAGCAATTATGTCCTTCTTAGAAAATGAATTGAATGTTTTTGGTGGGAGGTAAAAGAATAGATAGAAGTTTGGCAGATTGGGTAATATTAACAGGTAGAAATGTGATAATCTCCATGAGAATGATGAAAACTTACTAAGGCATGTATCTATAGAACATTACATAATACCACATTTGATGACAATTACAGATAATTAATGTAACATAAAAGATTTCTATGGCCATGCAAGATTAATATAATGTGTTTGTTCCATACTTTATAAAGGATTTACTCCATGCTTAATTTAAACAAAGATAATTATATCTTATAGTGAAGCATATTTTCATACATACATAGATCTTATAAAGTAAACCACTCTGACATTTACTAGCTATATGATCTTAGACAATTTATTTAGGCCTTCTCTTAAACATAGGCAATGAAAGTATCTTCCTTATTAAAGCCTTAAGAGGATTAAATAATTCACCAAATGTACTCAACAACAGTATTGAGGATAATGCCTAGTATGTTGCTGAGTGCTCAGAAAAATAGTTTGTTTTCCAAGTACTTCTTGATTTTTTTTTATTTTCTAAATAACCGAAAGTTTGCACATAGAACATATTCAATAAATATATGTTTCATTGAATTAAACTGATGACACATGTTGGGTGCATAGAATGATTTCCATTTTACAGATGAGGGGTTTGATTTAGTGATCAACTTAGGTTTAATTCCCATTGCTCTTAGGATTCAATTTCAAGAAATTGATGGAGATCACAGATATTTCTGGCACATAGCCATATATTTTCTCTAATAGCAATTAGTTAATGCATTTCAAGTACTTAGTAATTCTATGAACTATTCTACATGCATTATCTTATTTCTCACAATACTGTAAAATAATTATTTACATTTCAAAGATAAAACCAACTTTAGAGGTTAAATAACTTAAAGTTTTTGGTAAATTACAAATATATATTTGATTCACAATCTGACCCAACTTTATGATCTTTACCACTAAATGGATGGAACTGGTGATTATAATGCTAAGTGAAATAAGCCAATTCCAATAAACCAAAGGGCAAATCTTCTCTCTTTCTCTACTATAATGTGGATACTAACGCACAATAAAGGCAAGGGCATAGAAGTTCATTGGATTAGACAAAGGGGAATGAAGGGAAGGTGGGGATGAGAATAGGAAAGACAGTAGAATGAATCTGACATAATTTTCCTATGTTCATATATGAATATATGACCAGTGTACTCCATATCATACAAACACAAGAATGGGAAGTTATACTTCACATATGTATAGTATGTCAAAATATGTTCTACTGTCATGTACAACTAAAAGGAACAAATGAAAAATTTAAAAATTTCTTACCCAGAGAAGATATCACAGAATCTGTTTCTGAGAGAAATTTAGATTCTTCATATTTAAATCATTTCTTTTGGTATAAAATCACATTTTACAAAGAGGAGAAAAATAGAGCTGGAAAAAATAACTAATTTTTCAGCTGCTCTCATTCAGTGTTATAATTTAGTTTGAAGTATGGTGGCACATGCAAATTTGATGTATTACTCATTTTAGAATCAAATAGAAAGATAATTTAACCTTTTGAAATATCCATATATGAATCCTCTATTATTACAGAGAACATCAACTATGTAGCAATAGAGAAATAGTGAAATGAAATTCATCTATGTATAAAAACATGATATAACCCAAAGATGTGTCAAACAGAAAAAAATTCAACAGAGAAACCATTATTCATTGTTCCTTTTTCAGTGAAGAAATCTGGACTCACAGTATTCAAAATGTACTTTGGAACACATTAATTTTGATGTGTTTTCATTTGTATGTTAGTAACTAGGACAAAGGTTTTGTATTATTTTTATATTATTTTTTACCAATTTCAGAAACAAAATTGTTTCATAGAATGGATAAGTAAGAAATATTGCCAAAACCATACTTTAGTTTCAAATTGTCTATACTGCACATCTGCCTTTGTTTTTTGAGTATGGTTTTAATGCACAGATGGTTTTCCCTTACCTTATTTGTGTTCACTGCTGTGATGACCCAGACGCACTGGGCATTGCTGTCATACTGGAATGGAAAGTTGGGAGACGTAAAGGTGCCACTTGGTCCTTGAAGATTAGAGCCACATGTCTTCACTAAAAGAGAAATGGTAATGTGAAAAATAGGCATGCAACACAGCAATAAAATATCTTTCAATAGACTTGAAATTACACAATTATAATTTATAATAATTGAAATGTATATTATGGTGTTCTAATGTCACTTATCAAAATTAGAATGTTTGTTATGTTCTATTTTAACTGAAAACTGGCTATCAATAAAATTGTGAGGTATACTGAAATGTATACTATGGCACTTTAAATATCACTTTTCAGAATTAGATTCTGATATCCTGAGATTTGCAAACATGATATTTTCAATATTAATCAAAATTAGTTATGAATTGTGGTGTGAAGCATGATAAATTGTCTCCTGATGGTAAATTGTTTAGTTTAATGAGAGGAATTTATATTAACCTAATATGCTAATTAAAAATATACAATGAAAAGAAGCAAAGCCTTGGATGGATTAAGCAATCTATAAATTGTTTTATTTCTATTTATTAAGTAGCCAAGGACTCATAAAAGCACAGTTGCTAGTCATCAACATTAAAATGACTCATTCTGTTCCTCTAACTGTGAATCACACACCACTAAGACCATATTATCTAAATTTCTGAAAGTTAAACATGATCTACATTTCATTAAAATTCATTTTAATGAATTCCCACAAAATTAAAAGTTGTAATAATTTCTCAATGTTCTACTTCTTCTTTATTCTTCATAAAACAGATAATCAACACACTGGCTGTTTATTAGTTTCCTTCTTGGCCACCACAAATTTCTTGGTGCCATAATTTTGATATGCATTTATTTGCCCTATCCCATTAGAATCCTAACTATGTAATTATTTTCTAATTAATGAATAATAATCTATCATATTTTAAAATATGTGTAGTTACACATGTTTTCATATGTACTTAAATCTTTACACAGTTGTTATCATCACCACTTTGAAGATGAGTTTATGAAGGTGCCCAAAGTTTGCTTGCCTTGACCAAGGTCACTCTGGTAATAGGTAGAACACCAAGAAATTGAGCCTTGGTCTTCTGACTACAAGTCTTGTCATCTTATCAGGGAAAGTATGTTTGCATAGTATATTAAATTTATTTTTTTCCACTAATTTCTTCCCTTCTGCTTATATTTTAGTATGAATCCAATCCATACATATTTTCTTAAACTTCAAAGTTAAACTTTGTGGTCACTTTTCAGTCACATTTAATCTTGTTTTGTGTGTGTGTGTGTATATATATATATATATATATATATATATATATATATATATATATAACTTTGTTTTATATATATGATCTCTACATACTGAATAACAAAATTATATTATTTTTTCAGAAAAAAATAATAAATGATATTTTTCTTCATTCAACATTGCTTACCATTTTTCCTCATTTACTACCAAACTTATCACAAATCTTTTTTTCCATGCTCACTAATCCATTTCCTTCCTCTGCTTTCACTCTTCAAATTACTTCAGTCCAATTCCTACTCTAATCTTAATATTGAAACTGTATTCTCAATGCTAGCAATGACATGCTACCTGCTAAATCTAATAATCTCTTCATTTTTCTCTATATTTGATATCTCAGCAATAACAGAATATATTGAAAAGCTTTGAAATCCTCTTGTTTTCCTTACATAATATGGAACACTCTTATTTGCCTTTATGTTTTAAATAGTTCTGTTTCACCATATCCTTTGTTCTGGTCCTATTTTTTTTTCCATCTGACCCATAGCAGTGTAATTCTAAATTGATTCCATAGCCTTTTCTATTTTTTCTATATTCTCTGAAAAGACTAATTCACTTCTATGACTTGAATATTCAGTTCTATGTTGATAACTCTCCAATCTATATTACCATCTTTGGCATTTCTCTTAATTTAAAGGTTTATTATCTGTATACTATACATTCTACCCATCATTTTAATGTAAATTTTAATTAAGTATTTCTTAATTTGCCCCTCCACCTCCCTGACAGTAACAGTAAGACCTATGTATTGCTTTTCTGAAACAACTGTTCTCTTCTTCATCTCTTCCCAATACCCAATGCTTCTGGGTCCCTTTTTCTGGTCTGGTCATAGCTATTTAACTCTTTCTAGACTCTATCTTTCTCTGTTAAATATCTTACTGTATTTATCTTTTGAAAATACATATTTGATTGCTTTTCTTAATTGCATGTAAGCTTGGTATCTATTTTCTACAGGATTAATTAGAAACTGTCTTATATATAATATAAAATTATTTCTGTGAGAACCTAAATTCCTTTTCAAATACAATGTCCTGCCATTTTATATACTCATATACTTACTTGTGCCAGAATAGACTTGTACTCTCTTTAATATATCATACTCTGTATATTTTTTTTCATTCTGTTTCCCAATCTAAAATATTCCTTATTAAATTTCCTGAAAAGATTCTATTCATTTAAATAAAATCAAGTTTTTTGTGAGGTCACTTTTTTCTTTCAAAAGGGTTCCCAGCTGTGAGGCTTTAAGCAACTTAGTGAGATCCTTTCACAAAATAAAAATAAAATAAAACAAAATTAAAAGGGCTGGGTGTGTTGCTCAGTAGTTAATCACCCATGGGTTCAAACTCTGGTACCTATATAAATAGATAGATAGATGGATAGTAGAGAGATAGATAGGTAGATAGATAGACAGACAGGGTCTCAGTCAGCTTGGTGGTACAAACCTGTGTTCCCCACGACTTGAGAGAGATTGAGACATGAGGATCACAAGTTTGAGGCCAGCATCAGCAACTTAACAAGCCCCTAAGTAAGTTAGCAAGACCCTACCTCAAAAAAATAAAATAAAATAAAAAGAGCTAGGAATGTAACTCAGTGGTTAGGTGTCCTGTATTCAATGCCTAATTCTTCCACTCAGGATTCTGTAATGGACTAGTGCTCACAACCCATACCCTATTATTCAAAGAGTACATGTATTAAAATGTTTGTGTTAGACCTGATACAGAATGAAGTTATAAAGACTAAGAACTTTATAGCAATGAGAATTTTATAGCAATAAACACATGATTGGTTTAATGTTAGTAGATATAACTTTCTTTTATTTCTTTTTTCTATTTTTGGGGGGCGGGGGAGGGTAGGTACTGGGAATTGAACCCAGAAGTGCTTTACCTTTGAGCTATATATCCCCAGTCCATATTATTATTGTTTTTAAATTTTGAGACAGGGGCTCATTAAGTTGCTCAGGATTTTGCTAAGTTGCTAATACTTGCCTTAAATTTGTAATCCTGCCTCAGTCTCCCAAGGATATAACTTTCTAATAGGACATACTTTGAGTGGTATTTCATGCTTGGTAATCCTCTGGAATAATTTATCTTCGAAAATGTGTACACAATTACAGTCTTCTTTTGAGGACAAGGCTTTGCTTATCATTTCTGTTAACTCCTAGTACTTGATTTTCATGGAGAAACGTTTGTTAATGGAACAAACATACAAGCTCTTTGGCACAAATTTTAAGTGAACTATAAAATAAATGGTCTCTTTGTGATGATGAAGAATTCTTGCAACTATGAAAATGTCCGGTGGAACATTATTTTCTTTTTATATAAAAATAGAGATGACACACTTATAAAATGGCAGGTAAAAATCAACTTTAAATATTTTGGGTTTTTTGTCTGCTTCCATGCAAACCTGATAATGACCACTTAGCAAGGTTGGATATAATTCACAGACAATGTCCATTTGTGAGTGTATATGGTTTTACATGTTTGTGTGTGTGCATGTGTGTGAGTGTTTGCATATTTTAAGAAACAAATCTAAGCACATACACATTCTTATGAAAGCTTTTGATACACCTATACATCAGGAAGACTGTTCTAGTCAATACACTTAGATTTTCATAAATTTTAATAGTCCCAAAAAGTTGGTGGAAATATTCCAAAGTTTTTAGTCTTTTACTCTGAGAACAGTAGATGATGACTGGGGCATTTCCTTTATCTCTGGGTGGAAATGAGAAGACATGTAAAACATATCTGCTGTCTGAGCAGAACTGCAGCATTATCTCATAGAAATCAGCATAATATACAACATAACTAAGTAGAAATGGTACTTTGTTGTAAGCCACTGAGATTTTTCTGATTGATAATTTTCACATGATGTTGAAAATTTGTATGTTTTACCTATAATGTCTTCATAATACCTTTTTTGATAAAGCTTTAATAAAGATATTAATACTATATCTATATACTTGTGCTATTATTTGTGCTTTACACTTGAGTTATCATTGCAGTATGAATTTGAAGAAGATGAAATCCTTAGTCACAATATGTGAGCATCAAAAAATTTGATAAATATGCCTAAACTACTCTAAAAAGTTTGTTCAATATACTCTCAAAAACAATCTAAGAGAAGTAAACTCTCTTACCATAATAGAAGTATCAACAACCATTTGTGCTTTTGTCATTCTGATCAGTATGTCCACATGTTTTAATTTCCACTTCTTTATTTATTATATTGTTATGGGCCAGGCTATCTGGGCAATGACTAAACAAGTCTCCATTTTACCCTAAGACTCCACTTCACGTAAGAAATGCTTCTCCCATGGGAAAGCCCCACCTTTGTATCCATCAACAGTTGCTTAGCATAGCGTGTTTGGCAACACAAAATGGCAATTCTTATATAACATAAAACTATCCCATTTTTCTTGGATGATGTATTCTGTCAGAGATTGATTGTCTAGATATTAGTAACCATTCTTTAACTTGTAGGCAACTAGGGACATTGGGAACCACCTTCTACTTAGGATTTTAGATCTCATGACATTTATTTATGGTTTCAAATCAGAGCAACAGCCACTTATGATTATTATGGTTTTGGACTATAGAGGTGTACTCAAACCCCAGGAGGACTGTAGTGGCCCACTGGCTGGTGAATAAAGATTCTGTCTCCTGCTTTAAGATCAACTCAGGGAATTATTGCAATCTTGCCATAACAATATGGCCTAACACAAATTTTCATTGCTGCTTCTATTTCTTTGTTAAAATTTTCTAGTTGAGTACTT